ATTCATTTTCCTGTGCATAAAATTCTTTGTTCTCTGTCTTCTCTACTTTTCAGCATTAGCAAAGCAAGGTCATAATAATTGGATTTGACAGTGATTTGTTTATAGCATCCTCCTCTCTGATTGCCCGGACTACCTTCTCCTCTGAAGTGGGCATGTCATATGGTTCACTAACAGCAAGAACATGCAGGCATGTTCTTTCCTGTTCTTCCCTTGGAGGACAATTAAAATGACTTCCTGGATGTCTTGATGGATGGAAAGCCTGGTGGTGTGCTTGACTGCAGCCCAGGAGGCAGACGGGATGGGCCTCTCAGGAGGACCTGACAGGTTGCAGTGCCATAGAGCAACTAATGACATAGAATCTACCATATTTGAGAGGTAATTTTCACACGACAATCAAGATCCAAATACCTGCTCTCGCCTGCAAATGATGAGTGCTGGTGCAAGGTGAAGTTGCTGTGGACAGTGAGGAGCCCCATGAGGACAGAGGCCTTGGTTCTGGCCATCCAGTGGGCTGCCCAGGATGAGGGCATCAGGGGAAGACCATGCAACATTGTCAAAAAATAAGGAAAAACAAACCTTCAGTTATTACAGGTGTAGAAATTGTGGTTTTCATTTTGAGGCTTAGCGTTTCTTATAATAATGTCAAACTTTATACTTACCTACTACATACTTCCATCTCAATTATTAGGCATGATGGAGGCCTTGAGTAGCATATCGTTTTAACCTGGTTGCAATGCCTTCTAAACCGTTTATATTATCATCACTCATTTTGTTCAATCTCCACTGAAATGCTACCTTTGCTCATTATTAGTATCTACCTGTGCATTTTACAAGGAACTTTCCTTTGTCTTATGAAAATAGTAGCTATATAGTTAAATTAGTACTATGTAAAGAACACCAAATATATACAAATCGTCAAAACAAAAAAACACGGTTACTTTTAAGTATAATGGAGACTCTTAAAGTTGTTAAAAGACAACCCATCAAAAATATTTCCAAACTCTCTATTACCTGAGTTTTTAAAAGAGTTTTCCTTTGATTAATTCCAATGTGATGTGTGATTTCCATTTTTCTTCTCTGTGGAGTAAAATTCCATCTCTCTGGGGTTTGTTTTTAATGATTTGCATTGTTTTTTTGCACATATAAAATTAAATCATTTAAGAAAATTTATAGAGGGCACAGTGGCGCTCACCTGTAATCCCAGCGGCTCAGGAGGCTGAGCGGGAGGATCACAAGTTCAAGGCCAGCTTCAATAACTTCTTGAGGCCCTAAGCAACTCAGCAAGACCCTGTCTCAAAATAAAAAATGAAAAGGGCTAGGGATGTGGTTCAGTGGTTAAGCGCCCCTGGGTTTAAAAAAAAAAACGAAAAGAAAGATATGTTCAAATGCACAACAGGTATTTGTGAAGATATTCAGCTGTTTAGCACCACTAATCATTGGAGAAGTGCAAATCAAACCCACAGGGAGCTATCACCTCCCACACATCATGAAGGGTCTGTGTGTTGGAAAGTGTGTGGAAAAACTGAAGCCCTCTACTCTGTTGGTGGAAATATGAAATTGTCATTGTAAGGGTGTTGGAGGAGATCTCCGCAGTGGCAGGGGAGAGCTCTCCTTGAGCTTCCAGGCTCTTGACATGTCACAGAAAAGAATTTAAGATGTGTCAGTTTTTAACAAAGAGAGGAAGAGCTTTATTAGAAACTACAAGGAGAAAGTGCACATTGAATGTGGGCTCTTTCTGGAATAAACCTTGCCTGTCGAGTTTCAAGGTCTGAGCTCTTATTAGGGTACAACTAGGTGGAAGATGCGTGATCCACAGGGACCGGGCCTTTCTCGGATTGCACAGTGGTGAGCCAGGTGATGCCTCCCTGTGAGGGGGTTTGGTCAGCACACGGGTTTTCACTCACATTGATGCCTCTGGCAGTTGGGTGGTTCATGGGGACAGGCCAGAGGGTCATGGTCCAATCAAATGTTGGCCCCTGGCTTCATGAGGTCAAGGGTCTCTTTCCATGTCTGTATTCCAGAAAACGTGCAGGGGAATGCAGAGTTACAGGATAACACACCGACTGTTCAAGCACTCACACATCTTCTTTCCCTCTGTCCCTCAGGTTCTTTAGCTCGTGAGCTGTTCACGAGACATCAGGTCTACATTCCTCATTTCTCCTTCAGAAACTCAGTATTCTGTCTGTGTTTATAAATTTCTATCTCTGAATGGTACCATAATCTACCATAGCCAAGATGTAGAGATGGGCTAAATATCCTTTGGTGTATGAATGGATAAAGAAATGTGGTCTATAGGTACAGTGCAATAGTGTCATATGGAAGGAAATCCTACCTTATATGACAAGATTTCCTGAGAACATTATGTAAAGTGAAATAAGCCAGGCATAGGAAGGCAAAGGAGAAAGGATTCCTCTTAAAAGTGGGACCTAAAATAGTCAGATTTGGGGGAAACAGAGAGTAGAATGGTGTCCATGAGGGACCAAGGAAGGGAGAATGGAGAGTGCTATTCAGCAGGCAGAGTTTCAGTTGTGTAAGATGGACAAGTGGACAGCATTATGCCTGTAGTTAAGAACACTGCATTGCGCACTTAAAATGTGCAAAGACTGTAGACCTCATGTTGTTTTCTTATCACAATTTTTAAAAGTTAGATCAAATGAAAAACAGAAGTCGTTTGCATATAGGCTTTCCCACCTACTCAAATTTCAAATCGCGACCAAATTGTTCTGGGATATGTTAATGTCTCTCCTGAACTACAATCTCCCTTCTCCCTCAGGAGGATCCTCTATGATCTGTATATCCTAGTTTTTCTGCTTCTCCACTCATAAATTGCCCTGAAAAGTTTTGTTGATTTATATGTGTTTAAAATTCTCCACATGGTTTTAACATTTAAAGAAAATGGCAAGTGGGATTGGGATAGTTGACTGCTGATTAAATCTGTAGAATTTCTATCATCAAAACTCATCCCTTCAGTCAGGTCCTACAGAGTGAAAACCACCTAAAGTATAAATATGATGCTCGCTAATATGTGAAAAACATGTGGAACTTTACTAATGCACATTTCAAGTATGAGGATGACCCTGTTTTTTTTAATTATCAAGTAACACACACACACGTACACACAAACACACAAACACTCACACTCAATTCCACGCCAGTGAGAATTTCTTTTTGGTACCAGAGGTCAATATGTTAAGTTCCATTGTTATATTTTCCTAAAATTTTTATATAATGTGTCTGTCAATCACATGTCCTCTGAGTCACTCCTGGCTGCTTCTATCCTGCATATATCATTCTGAAACAAACAAATGCCCATTTCATTAAACATAAATAATGACCAAAACACTTTGGTTGACATCCACTGTATATTTCAGTATAATTTTATGTAAATAGTAGTATTGGAATTTAAATGATATTCTTTAGCTAGTTGCAAAAACCAAATAAAACATGCAGCTCAGGGTAAGAGATTTGCAACCTCTGACCAGAGTCAGAACCTCTATCTCTGTCTTTCTTTCTCTCCTCCCACATGTGTGTGGGCACACAGACACACACACAGACACACACACACACCCACACACACACACACACACTTTAGATTCTTGATTCTTAGATACTTTTGGTATCCAAACAGTTCATTTACTAAAAACACAATGAATACTCATCAAGTTAAATCTAAACAATACACTGGTTGAACAGTTTTTCCTGATACACAATCTAACCATTGGGCAAGATATAATTCTATGTCAAATACAAATGATTTAAAAACTATTATTATTTGCAATGACCTAAGAAAACCTGGTGTAAGACTTTAAATGTTGTCACATTTGTAGCAATACAGTTGTCTCTTTGTTTATGAAAGTCTTATATGAGAATCCTAAAGTTTTAATTTAGATAAGGACTAAACTTTGCATAATTGAGCTAACAATAAAATGTTTGCTTTGAGAAATATTTACTCTAGGTTATTTTGATGTATTCTTTCTCCTTTTTCATCTTAACTAGCATTATTGTTGGACTATACTAGTGATGTTTAACTTCCATGGCATGTAACTTTTTTGCCATTCAAATCTTCCAGATGGGGCACTGTGGCACAGACCTGTAATCTCAGCAACTCGGGAGGCTGAGGCCAGAGGATCATAAGTTCAAGGCCAGCCTCAGCAATTTAGTGAGGGCATGAGCAACTTAGTGAGATCCCATCTCAAAATAAAAAATAAAAGCGATGGGGATGTGGCTCCATGGTTAAGTGCCTCTGGATTCAAACCCTAGTACCAGAAGCAAAAAACAAACGAATTTTCCAAAATGTTCTAAAGGGAAAATCTTAAGTAATTGAGACAAAACGGTCACCTTTAGACCATGCTTTGACTTTATCTCCTTTGTGACTTCAATCAATCATACATAGATTGAACCAGATGATGAGATATCTTAACACTAGCCCATCCTTCCATTCCTAGATTAAAAGCAGTTGATTATGAAGTTTTATTTGCAAACTTCAGATTCTGCTAATAAACTTTTTATATTTTTTTAGAATTTTGTGGCCACAGTTAATAGACATCGATATGCAATTTTACATATTTGTGTTTTATCTTTGAAAAAAACAATTTGCCTTCAATGTTAAACTCAATTTCTGGAAAAAAATTAGGAAGGCTTCACTAGTTTTCAATTCTCAGGAGCAGTTTAAAATGCACTGGGATTATTTGCTCTTTAAACAAGTGATATGATTGACACTAATGACCACCTAATATTTAGAGGAGCTGACATCGTTGTTTTTTGCACAGAAGTCAGGCAATTAAGGTGTTCTAGTTTTTCTGGGACTAGTTTTGCTATATTTTCCTTGAAAAGTTATATATTTTATTAAGATCATGAAACTAATTTGCATAAGTTGAGTTTAACTAGATTCTTATGATTCTTTCATTTCCTCCATTTCTGTAGCTATTTCCTCGTGAACTACTTGTTTGGTGTAGGTGCTCTTTCCAGGTGTATTTTATTCTCTACTTAAACTATAAACTTATCAATGTTGAAACATTTTCTAAATTCTTAGCCTCTCTTCCTTGAGCCCTTATTTCCTTCTTATGGGTTTTGGGTTGAAGTATCCCCCCGACCCCCCCAACAAATGATATGTTGGATCCCTAAGCTCCAGTGCTTGTGAATGTGACTTCATTTAAGAATGGACCTTATATTCAAGAACCCTTACAGTGGATTCTAGTCCAATACAATGGTATCTTTACAAGATGAGGAAAGTGCCACATGAGGTAGACAATGAGGGGAAAACATCACAAGGTGACAGAGGTAGCCATTGAGCTCAGCAGCTTTAAGCCAAGGAAAGCCAAAGATCACCAGCAGACCAAGGAATCTGGAAAGAGGCAAGAATGGATCCACCTTGGTGACTTTCAGAGGGAGCATGGCTGTGCTCGCAGCTGGGGTTTAGATTTCCAGCTTACAGAACCGAGAGACAGGAAGTTGCATAGGTTCAAGCCATCTATTTGTGGCACTGTGTCCCACCAGCCCTAGGAAATTAATTCAACATGGCGGTCATTTATGGATGATCTATGTCCACAATGTCTTTCTTCTTCATCTCCTAATGACTGCTCTTTTTTTTTTCCTTTTAGTACTTTTGTATTGATGCTGTCCCAGATCCCTCATTTTACTCCTTGTGGGAAAAAGTTGGATTTTTCTGACTAGTTTAAAAACAAACAAACAAACAACAACAAAAACCAGGAGTTTTCTTCAGAGTCCATTTTCCTGGGTATTTTCAGAGACCATCATCTCTGAGCTTCATCATTATTTTCTCCTCACCTTCGTTGCACTTTTCCCCAGCAAAGTTTCTATTTGATCAAAATATGCCTTGACTTCCAGATGCCTCTGTGTTCCTTAGAAGTGGTATGGAATCTTACGGTAAGACTCTCAATCTATAGGAACTTTGTGTTGCTGTCTTCACTGGTCACTATTCTCTTTTTTCCCCCCACACTTGCCAGAGCTACTTTGGAAAACTCACTTCTGTTGTTCTGTTTTATCTGAGGGCTTTCTGTCCATGCATTTTGTGAATCCCCGTAACCCCACCACCACCCTCCCTTTGTGTGGTATTAGGAGAGGAGGCAAATTCCTGTCTGGATCACCACATCCTCACCTGACATTGAATCCTTCCACTCTGCCCGCCTTTTCCTCTTCTTTTTCTCCTTCTTTCATTTATTGATGGCTTTTAGATTGGTAGATTTTTTTAAAAAATTCTTAGACCTTTCCTCTTCCATGGCTTATTTAGAAAGTCATTCTTTTATTTCCATTTTTACAGTGTTTTTTCCCTTCAACAGTTACAAACCTATCTAACTCTAAAAGATACCTGAAACACATCTTTACCTCCTCTGAGAACTGTAAAATCAATCCAGTGCATTAAATATGATCAACCACCTGCATGTCCTCATTATCTTTTTTCTCAGCTTTCCTTTCTGACCCTTAAGCTCCTTGATTTGCTTGGGATCTGTGTATACCTCCCCCAATTTATGAGCCTCCTGTTTCTTTGTCCCCTCCATCCATCCTCAGCAGTGCTCTGGATTTCTAGTATAGTCATTGCTCTTAGGAAACCCTAACTCCCTGTTTCCTGCTGCCCTGGTTTCAGTCTAACACTCTCTTGAGCAATGGCAGACGGAGCTTATAATTTCTAGATTGTGTACTCATGGATATATTTAATAGTTCCTTTGTTACAGTTTTCCCAGCATCTCAATACTTTGTGGCATGAGCTACTTCATGAAGCATTAGGCTCACTTATATATAAACCCTAATTTTCCATTCCTGCTTAATAAATTGCTATAAACATGGACTGCTTAGAACAATATGTATTTATTATCTTACAGTATCTATAAGTCAGTTATCTGGCCACAATTTAGACTTTCTGAGGCGATGCAGGATTTCTGAATCATGCTCCTCATTTTGCATCTTCCCAGTGTCCAATTCCAATGCTACTTCCACTCTTGATACCAGTGTTGGCATTGACTTTCTATTGCCACATAACAAATTCGCACAAAACCAGCAGCTTAAAGAGCTATTTATTGCATCATGATTTTGTAGGACAGAAGTGTGGAGTGGCCTGGTTGGGTTCTCTGTGCAGGATTTTGCAAGGCTGAAATCAAGGGATGGGGTGTGTTCTCATCTGGAGGACCAACTAAGGAAGAACCTCCCTCCTGCTCATTCAGCTGGTGGGGAGAGTGCAGATCCTTGTGGCTGTAGGACTGAGGTTCCTGTGTGCCTG